GCCATGGCCTGATGGATAAGGCGCTCGACTCGCAATCTGAGGGTCGTGGGTTCGAATCCCCGTCACACCAAACATGCTCGCCATTTCAGCCGTGGGAGCGTTATAATGTGACGATCAATCCCACTATTCGTTGGTAAAAGAATAGCCCAAGAGTTGGCGGTGGGTGGTGATGACTAGCTGCCTTCCCTCTAGTCTTACACTGCTAAATTAGGGACGGCTAGCGCAGATAGCCCTCGTGTAGCTTTGCGCGAAGTTCAAAACAAACAAACAAACTGTATGTATGACTAAACTGGTATGAACAGTACGCTGCTATGAACTGGTGTGGGCACTACACTGCTAAGTATTAGTATGGGCAGTACACTGCTAAATAGTGGTATGGCAGCACGCTGCTGTACTGTAAATATCTGTGAATGTTTTTTATAAGAGCTGTGGTGTTAAAGGTATAATGTAGAAAGAAAGTACTAAATGGAACTTAATGTAAAAGTAATTATTCATTTTATGTCAGTTTGAAATATAAAGTTTTCCTAGCGATGAAACACGTACATTTATCAGTGTAGAGTAATGAATAATGTGTAATATCGATGTGAAAGTTGCAGAGTGAAACTGATAAAAAACACATTGTTTTTATAAAAAATGTTGTTGTTTTCTGGATTTTAAGTGTGTTGTTAAAGCTGTAGAATGAAAACCCTTGTTCCTATGCGAAACTATGGGCAGCAAATAGTCATTTTAATACTACTAAAAAAACGGTTAGTGTTGTAAGGCGAAACGTTGAGTGTCCTATTAAAAAAAATAACACATATGATGTTATAAGGTCGTTTATTACTAGAGTTATCTATTGCTTTGTAGAATGCATCGTTAAAGCTGCAGAGTGAAACTGACAAATAAAATTTTGACATGGAGATAACGCACATGCGCTCTAGAGTACGTTAATGTTCTCGTGTGAACACCTTTTATAACCTGGCGAACGCCTTTTTTAAGCTGGTGGAACATGATTATGATTAATTATACTTGCCATAAGACACTAGTATTAGGCCTGTTATATTTTTACCATTAAGTTTTTTATTCAGTCCCTTACTGTTTTTCAAGAGGAAAACGAGTGTATAATAATATTTCAATCACACTATCCGCCATTTTTGGATATCGCGGATGACGTGGTTGAAATGTTAATAATTATACACTGTTCGTATCTTGAAAAAACTGAAAAAATTCAACGTAGGGTTAAAATTATAACAGGCTTAATATCAAGTCTTACGAGAAGTATGATTAAAGTTATATCCTGTTAACGCATCATCAATAGTTGGTTAGTGAGGGATATCTATCAATCTAACTGTTATATCCCGTTAACGCATCATCAAGAGTTGGTTAGAGAGGGATATCTATCAATCTAACTGTTATATCCTGTTAACGCGTCATCAAGAGTTGGGTAGTGAGGGATATCTATCAATCTAACTGTTATATCCTGATAACGTATCATCAAGAGTTGGTTAGTGAGGGATATCTATCAATCTAACTGTTATATCCTGATAACGTATCATCAAGAGTTGGTTAGTGAGGGATATCTATCAATCTAACTGTTATATCCTGTTAACGCATCATCAAGAGTTGGTTAGTGAGGGATATACATCTACTTATCTATCAATCTAACTGCATCATAAAAATATATTTACGCTTTAAAATGAATTGTGAGTTCTTTTTTTAGTTATGAATATAAATTTCTAAAGGAAGACAACAATAATCATTTATAAAAGAAAGTACTTTCTACAGGTTTATCTGAGATTCGCAATTGTTAAACAAATAAACAAAGATCATATTTCTGGATGTCAAAGACGAAACTCAAATTAGAATGTTTTTTTTTCCTTCGGGAATTAGTTTTAATAAGGAATAGTTTAAGGGTTACCTCTTGTCGGAGATAATTAAATCACAATAATAATAATAAAAGTGTACATTTTAAAAGTCGCAGTTTTAACCTTAAGGCACCTTTAAAAAAAACACTCATATATTTGTATACGGTGCTAAATATTTAAATAATTACATTAACTTGTGTTACTCCAAATGGTAATAAGCGGTAACAACACAGAAAACTTTCAACTTCGTATGATTTGTTTACCATAACGAGAGTTATCGAGTTCAGTAAATGAAGCACAACTCAATAAAAGTTTTAACTCACGTCATATATGCCTGTGTAGATGGCAAGACACTCAGACTATACGAGGGATGACCCACTTTTCAAAAGTTAAAGGATGATTTTTAAGCACATAGCTGCACAATGAATTATCTGTACTCTGCCTGCCACAGGTATCGAAACCCGATTTTTAGCGTCGTAAGTTTGTGAACTTACCAGTCATTGGGGGGCTTGAGGAGTTAAATAACTAGTTACTCGTAATTTTCTGTTCTTTCATATCAAAGGAAAAGTAATTACACGCTTATATTGCAGAGTTCATTATGAAAAATTTTGTTCACCCACCTATCTATATGATATAGCAATTTTAATTGTTATAAGCTATGATTTATGAAACATACAAATTATATTTATTTACCTAAATTAATCATAGCTTTACGCTGCTATTTATAGCAAAACGGTTCTTTTAAATTAAATAATTAAAAAGTTTTGATGCAAACAAAATATAATGATAGAAATTGACTCTATTAAACATATATATATAACTGGAAAAATACTCTTCGTAATATACATATAACTGGAAAAATACTCTTCGTAATATACATATAACTGGAAAATACCCTTCGTAATATACATATAACTGGAAAATACTCTTCGTAATATACAAATAATTGGAAAAATACTCTTCGTAATATACATATAACTGGAAAAATACTCTTCGTAATATACAAATAACTGGAAAAATACTCTTCATAATATACATATAACTGGAAAAATACTCTTCGTAATATACATATAACTGGAAAAATACTCTTCGTAATATACAAATAACTGGAAAAATACTCTTCGTAATATACATATAACTAGAACAAATTCCATTACTTTATGACATTCTCCCCAAGAATTTGCATCCATTCAAGAACACTCTTGTTTTGTTTTTTAGAGCGTTTTTACAAGACATCACAGGTTTTAACGTTAGTGTTGATTCTAACAGTAATAAACACTATGTTTCATACGTTACTATGGGTTGGGAAGTGACATAAAATGCCAGACATAATTTCACATTAAAGCTTGTTTGTTTGTAATTAATCACAAAGCTACACAAAGGTCTATCTGTGCTCTGCCCACCACGGGTATCGAAACCCGGTTTCTAGCGTTGTAAGTCCGCAGACATACCACTGTGCCACTGGGGGGGGGGGGGGTGAGTGAAAGTGAAAGAAAGTGAGTGAATATTTACACGTTTTATATCTGTAAAGATTTCTATGTTACAGTTTAAACTTGTAAATTTGCAGAATCAGTAACGGATTAGCCCAAGTTAACCAAATGTGATTAGTAAAGTCGGGTTAATCTGAAAAATAATCGCTTTTTTTTTACAGTAACTCTAACTATAGTTAAGGTTTAGACACATTTTCCGGACATATTCTTGAGTAGAAAGTTATAAGTCAAGAACAAATATGTCTATGTGCTCCCCTAATTATCTTATGGAGGTTTAATGAAAATTTAGTAATAAGCATACAATCTGAAAATTACCTGTTTGAATCAGACAGAAACGTTCAGCCCAGTAGGAAGTAAAACATTCATTAAACGCAGAATAAAGATCACTTTCTGCAAGTATAAGTACGTTTAAGTAATGGTTTCAGTATTTATGTATATGTATACGCTGTACATAAATTTATTGTAGGATGGGCAGGTCACTAGTCTACTGTCAGTCAATAGACACTTGCGCGCAGCCCACGTGCCTGTCGACGTAATAAGAGTCGTTTGATGGATGGTGAGAACAGAACAGGTCACGTGGATCAGGTAGGTCATTAGTGTTTGAGTCTGCAGCAATAGTATTGACCACTGCACGACTGTAACAGTTCACCAATAGCTAAGTTGAATCCATGGTATGCTAGCTATCATATGCCGCGATGTTTGTTTAGGACATATCAGGCCTTTAATTCCTCCTCCATTCGATGACAAACATCTGGTGGCCATTAAACATAAAGAAACTTTGGAAACAGCTCCACTCTTGCTATTCAACCTTTAATCGTTCTCTCATCCATGCAGAACAATAGTTTCTGTGATCATTGACAGAGAACGCCCACTTTTAGTATTTTTCTTTAAAGCTAAATGCGAGTCTTGTCTACAAAATAGCCCCGCATTGAATAAAACATTCATTTTTGCTATCTCAAACTTAAAGAAAATTTACTGGTCGGGGTAAACACACGAAACCATTGGACTTACACATGCAACCGATTAAAGATTCAAAGGATGATTCATTATTGACGTTTATAATTTATAATGATTCATCCATTTAAAAGTGGAAGTTATACGGAGGACAAAATTCCCTTTAAACACACAAAAAGCTATTTATTTTAAGAAAGATCTAGAATGTTATGGATACACGAAACGCTATTAAAGAGGAACAAACACTAGGATATTTTAGCAACAATAAAACACTGTAAGATGAATATCAATAAAATCATAACGTAGTAATTCATAAAAAGTTTAGGATGTTAGATTTTCTATGTAATTATACACAATCTTTAAATTACGGTTTAATTTTGAAAAGCTATCAGATCTTACTATTTGGTCACAAAAGAGTAGCCCAAGAGATGGCTCTTAGTGCTGTTGACTAGCTGCCTTCTCTCTAGTCTATCAGTTCAAAATTTTGGATGGCTAGCCCAGATAGCCCTTGTGTATAGCTTTGCGCAAGTATCCGAGAACAAATACACCGCATGTAGTAGCATGATTGAGCTTGTTAACTTTCTTGAGACTAAGTATTCAAGTCCCTTCCATACACGAGTACCAATAAGTAAAGAAAGATCTGAAGAATTTAAAAAGTATATTAACAGCATACTTATCAAGGAACAATATCACCGATTCCATTAACCATACGGTATGGCTCTAAGTTTGCAGTGTCTGGTGAATTACTTTCTGACGATAGGATTTTCTAGACGTTAAAACGGCAAGTAAAGATACGCCTGGAAAAGTAAAAAAATATGTTCTGTGATTGAATACTTTTTGAATACTTTTTCTTCGTAAATATAAGTGTTGCAAAAATATATGTAAAATTGCTTCATTCTTAAAAAATAAAAAGTGTAGAAAATCGGGCACTACTTTGTAACGCGTTATCATATATCCAAAATAAAAAGGTTAGTAAAATGTCCTTAGCTTCCCTTCGTCTCAAAGTATCACAGTCTTTGCTTCGAGAAATTTAAAATTAGTTATCTAAGACACAATTGTGCTACATATGAGAAAAAGGCCGAAGTGAGTATCTTTTGTGACAATGTACGTAGCTTTGGGGCTTCTTATATATACGAAAAACTTTATAAGTTGCTAAAACAACTGATTTTGTTTTGTTGGATGTAAAAACACTGCTAATCCACTGCGATACTTCGCTAACTTCACAGCTAGTTTTGGGAGAGTTCATAGCGTACCACCTTTACGAGTTCTGGTTCAAGATCTATGTCTTTTTATATTTTTAACTGTGACAGTCTGACAGGTTACCCAATTTTAAATATAGTAAAGAAATGGAACCAATGTAGACGAGTTACAGTTAATACGCTTTGCGATTTTACGTCTAGAGTGTTCTGTTTATCACTTGTAAGCGCTTTAGGATCATTTTAAGTTATGCTCTACTAGGAATCTTGTGCTAACTCTACTTTTGAGAAGGAAAGCTACTGTTAAGTTTAGCGATTTGTACAAATAGAAATATTTCTTCGTATTGCAGAATTATTACACCGTTGGAATCAGGCAAAGCAGGAATATCAAGTCAGTAGTCCAAAACCTAATTGCTAGTATGGCACGCGTGAGGAAAACGCTTGAGTGAACAATGATTATTATAATAACCTTTTTTTTTATGGATCGGAGACACAACTGTTGGAGAGGTGGAAAGAGTGGAGTAAATATATGTGACTTTGGACGATAAGTTATCATCTTGCAACTGATGAACTTTCCTGTAATAATGACGTCATTCTCTGATTCATTAAGGTCATCCGATTAGTCAAGGGTCAATAATAAACTACTTATGACTTAAAGTATATATTTTAAAACAATTTTTAAGAGAATAAATAAATGAAGGAAAGAAGGAGAAACCATTAATGATGGATTCTATTTGATCTATGATGGATTCTATTTAATCTATGATGGATTCTATTTGATCTGAATTGGTCACAAAGAACATTATGTAAATTTTTCAATAGATAGATAAATGCATGCCTCCCGGTGACTCAGTGGTAAGTTTGAGGGCTTATAATGCTCAAATGTGTGGTACGATCCCCGTAATAGACACAGCACAGATAACCATTGTGCAGGTTGCGCTTAAATAAAACAAACACACATGTTACTCTGAATATCAAATAATTGCATTTTAGCTTATGGGTTCACAAGGGAATTCAGATCCAACTGTGTGCTGGAAGCATAATTACAAAATAATATTGTATTCAGTCTCTCGCCTAAATATTGTAAGTATTCAAACTTTTTAGCTCTTGATAATACTATACTTGTAGTGGTAAGAAGTACTGTTTTTTTTGTGGCAATTAAAAAAATGTATGTTTATCTGTTAACTATTCAAAATTATATCTTTCATTTTGAACGAAAGTCTGAATATCGTTTTCGTCATGCTAACAACAGGAATCTAGAGTTGTATATATAAACATGACGAAATATATTACTAATATCTTCAATGTACTATGTAGACACATATACAGAGGTTAATCAGACTTTGTAAGAACGAAAAGAACGACTTATATATGCTACTTGCTGTGAAATGTCGGCACAGATGCGAGCTGTGGTGCCACAGGAAACATATTTAGCACCTATGTATTTGGTTCACGGAAAATCCTCGACCATTCCATAGTGCAATGCCGCCATAGGTAGACTTATGGCTCAAGGTTTATGTGACCGCTCTTACCGCTCTTTCTGAAGAGAGATATTCAGACAACGAAATTAACAATGTAGAGCTAAAGGACAGAAAACTTCTAAAAGGTTTGTCATGGAAACAGAAGGAGTCGTACTGTACTGAGTTCAACATAGCAACAAACTCCAAAATCAGAAGGAGTCGTACAGTACTGAGTTCAACATAGCAACGAACTCCAAAATCAGGAGTCGTACAGTACTGAGTTCAGCATTTGATTTTGGAGTTCGTTGCGGAGTCGTACAGAACTGAGTTCAACATAGCAACGAACTCCAAAAAATAAACAAATCCGGAACAATATCCTCATTGGTATAGTTTAGGGTTTCGAAAGAGAAACCTTCGACCTAGAATTTCATTGCAATGAAGCTGGATATATGTCCTAGTGGCGATAACAAATTAAAAACAAGAATTTGAATTTAATACAGGCTCACAAGCTTCAATACACACTTTGAAATTAACGTATGTTTTCTTGGGAAAGATGTCCGAAAAACTGGAATCATAGCAATCTCATTTGACCATGTATGTGACAAGCCTCTAGATACACTTCCAATGGATTTTTATGCCCTATATTTGCTTAAATGTGATATTCGAAGCTAACCACACGTGAACTTGAAGGACTTTGAAAAATCTCTCAAGATATGGATCTCAGACTGATGTTGTTGTCATTCACATAAGCTAGAAACAATAAAAACTACAGTCTGGGGGGGGGGGTAATAGTGTTCAATCATGGTCATCTGACTGGGCCGTGCACGATCGTCGATGGGAAAAGTAGTTCCTTAGACCTGAAATATTGTTCTTAAAAATTGCGGTTAACCTTCAGTATAAGAATGCACTCTATCAACTTGAATGAACAATGAGGTCAGATAGCACGTTGTGTTTATGCATTGCGGTTAACCTTCAGTATAAGAATGCACTCTATCAACTTGAATGAACAATGAGGTCAGATAGCACGTTGTGTTTATGCATTGCGGTTAACCTTCAGTATAAGAATGCACTCTATCAACTTGAATGAACAATGAGGTCAGATAGCACGTTGTGTTTATGCACTGTTTCATATCTTATACAATTCAGATCAACAGGATAGAAGCACAGGTCAAGTATTTAATAAACAAATTGTCAATTAAATTATTAAAAGCTCGGTGCTGTATCGTGCTTTCCCATAAAAAGTCGCCTCCCCGGTGGCTCAACGGCAAGTCTCGTAGCTCACAGCCCTAAAATGCGGGTTTCGATATCCGCGAGGGGGTAGAGCACGGATAGCCCGCTGTTTAGCTTTGTACTTAATAAAAATGAACCAACCAAACAAAACACGAAAAAGTCTCATTATGAACAATTTTAGTGAAACACAGCAATATGGATATTTATTTGAGAAAATGACACTTCTGTTGGTTTCCTTCAGATTACTTGCGCATAACTCCAAAAATCGCTATTTGCATATAGTCATTCTTATCTGATCAAACAGTAGAATTTGACCATTACTATTACAGCACACCCACAATCCCCTAGTTTGGAGCACGTTTCAGCGGCAAAATGAGCCACTAAGTCAAAGTTGGCCCTATTTATCTGGGACATTTAGCATGCTAACAAGAGAGAATTCATTTTTACTATATCTAAATTTGAAGGGTAGATTTGTATTTCTAAGTCTAGCAATAATATATTATACCATAAAAAAATATGATATTTATTTATTTTGATGCTCGACGGTTGTAAAACTTAAAATGTGTCATGCTTGTTCATTCGGTTAGTGAAGGCCTAAAACACTTACATAGCCATTAACACCAAATCAACGTTTGTGTTGTCTCTTGTTTCTTCGTGTGTATTTTCCCCACCTATTAACAAAGATCACATCCTATATGATGGATGGAGTGCACACTAAAAACTTCACTTGTAGTTTATAAGAGAGCTGTGTCAAAACTCTACGCTTTTAACGACCTATATGATGGATGGAGTGCACACTAAAAACTTCATTTGTAGTTTATAAGAGAGCTGTGTCAAAACTCTACGCTTTTAACGACTCTGGCTACTGAACAAAAAAAACACACAAAATGTGTCTCAACTCAAATTGTTTACTAAAACACACCAAATGCATTACGTTCCCTCTAAGTAATAAACATTGTTGTTAGTCGTCCATTGTTTAAGTATTAACACCATTACGAGAAACAACTTACCTCCATTTGCCTACAATATTTCACGATTTTTTTATATTTTCAAGCCAAAATACTTAGATGAAATAGGTTATTCTAGATTATAAGGGTTAATATCTTGCAGTTGAACAAAGGCAGATACAATATAATCTCAAACATTTGTTTACTTTAAGGAATACCCAAGATATTCGTACATTGATTTCCAATAATCTCGTCTTTTGATGTGAACAAAGCTTTGTTTGGTCAACCATAACAACCTTGTTGATTCGTATCATTGAGCACTGTAATATTACTTCTCAGATGAGGGGAATACTACGTCTTTTCACATGCGTTGGACTACGACACACAATGACACACACACTCATGCCATTTCAAAATTACCGGAAGTTGAAGAATTAATGTCAAAGTTCAAAGAGTCATTGATGATTATCCAACTGCTACTTAAAATAAATATTCGTTTTCTGCCTTTGAAATCCCCTAAAACAAAACCGATTTCACACTTTTAAGTACTGATGCGAGAGCAACACTCTGAAAGTGTGAATTCATGTCTTTTCTCGGAAAATACGATATCACTTACATAATAAAAATCATGAACTGTTAGATACTGATATTTTCAAGAAACCATTGATATAAATGTAACATTAATGGTAATTGTATAGATTTTGAAGAGTTACTGTCTTCTTGATAGAACTAAATATATGTTCGCAAAAATAGAAGATGATATAATGTAAGTAATGATATAATGTAAGTAGAAGATATAATGTAAGTAAGAAGATATAATGTAAGTAATGATATAATGTAAGCAATGATATAATGTAAGTAATTTAATTAACAGTTTTTTTTAGCATGACACTTATATTACTTTAATTCTGGTTATAAACTCACAATTTTAAATATATATATACA